TATCTCAACCTTCTCGTTTGATCCTAACCTTGAGTCGAGCCCACAGAATCTCTATCGAGGGGGTAGCAGGCCACCTGAGTCGCTCTCCGGAGCGACACGGGCATCTGTCGGGAGGTGGGTTAAGGAGCAGAGGAATGCCACATGAGGGATATGCCAACCCTGTCACGAACGACGAACCTAGATTCCACTCGAACATGCCCGTTAGCGAGCTCGCCGAGCGCGTCACTCGAGCCATCGAGGCAAGTGACGTTAGCTCAACCCCTCTGGTTGCGAAAACCGTGGACGGGGCGACGATTACGAAGATGAGCCGATCCTCGATCGAACCCCTGCTCTAGGGGGGGCTCGAGGAAAGTTGGACTCGCACAAAGGCTGAACGCTCGGTTGTGGAACGACAGACCCCCCAATAGGGGTCAAAATCAGGAAAGACCTTTTCCGAACCACCAAACCTCACAGCTACACCCCCAAGGGGTTCAATCATGACAAGGGAATCGCTGTCCCCAAGACATGCCGTGGGCGACAAAGGAAGGCCAAGGCCATCAGAGTCCTCCTATTCGGAAAAGTCTTCGAAGGAGTATTCTACTGCTCCACAGGCTTGGGGGCTACTGTCGGGGACCAATACTAGGGTACCCGAAGAGGAAGAGCTAATGATCATCAACATTGATTCATCCGAGCAGTTAAGAGCGTGACTACAGCTCCAACCGACCCCTAGACACGTGGGCTCTGCCTCGCCCGGCCTCCGGGGGAAGGCTCCGCCTCGCCTGGCCTCTGAGGGAGGGCTCCGCCTCGCCCGACCCCAAGGTCGCGGGCTCTGCCTCGCTCGACCCTTGGGTTTGCGCTTCGTCTCGCTCGGCCTCTAAGGGAGGGCTCTGCCTTACCCTACCCTAAGGTCGTGGGCTCCGCCTCGCTTGACCCTTGGGTTTGCGCTCTGCCTCGCCTGACCCCAAGGCCGCGGGCTCCGCCTCACCCGCCCCTTGGGTTTACGCTCCGCCTCACCCGGCCTCTAGGGGAGGGCTCCACCTCGCCCAGTCCAAGGCTGCGGGCTCCATCTTGCCCGACCCTAAGGCCGCGGGCTCTGCCTTGCCCGACCCTTGGGTTTGTGCTCCGCCTCGCTCGGCCTCTGGGGGAAGGCTCTGCCTCGCCCGGCCTCTGGGAGGGCTCCGCCTCACCCGACCCCAAGGCCGCGGGCTCCGTCTCGCTGAACCTTGGGTTTGTGCTCCGCCTCGCCCGACCTCAAGGCCGCGAGCTCCGCCTCGCCCGACCCCGAGGCTACGGATTCCACCTCGCCTAACGGAGACCCATACCGCCGCCAACCACTCTAGGTCCAAGTGTATGGGCCTTGGTTAAAGCTCTGATATCAAGGAGGCGACCGACATGCCCCGATGTAACCCACGGCCACGACGGGCCATACCTGAGGACTCACATCAGGAACAGCATCAGGCGTACCGATGTTGTTCTGCCTAACCCTCGTATGAACACTGACAGGCATGTCACTTCACCACGACGTCTGCTAGGACGGAGTGGAGCGTCATGACCGGCAGACGACACCTGCGCCTGGTGCCAGTGACGAACAGGGCCGCGACGTGGAGCCATCCCTGTCGACATCTACAGGGTCGGCGAGACCCGCATGAAGGATAAGAAGGACCTAGCGGTCCTGAAGGCCGCTCTCTCCCTCTCGTTTCTTCTCTTTTCCTCCGCTGTAACCCGTACTTTTCTTTGGTCTATAAAAGAGAAAGCAGGACGCCCCATGACTGGGATGGGATCGATCCAGGCCAGACCCGATCGAATCATCATGAAAACCTCGAATCGACCAGAACACAACACAAGCACACGGCTGAGCGGCAACCGAGCTCTCGGCACTCGTTCACTCTTTCCACCAGAGACTTGGGACCTATCCCTCTCTCGTCCATTTGTAACCCCTACTACAAACTTTCAGTGCTAGTAACACGAGCAGCAGCGACGAACCGGACGTAGGGACATTCTGTCCGAACCAGTATAAACCTCGTGTCCTCTAAGCACACCATCCGAGCCAGATGCGCAATATTAGAAATTTACTTGTCGGTGGTGACTTGAAACTACTTCGTGTCCTCTAAGCGCACCATCCGAGTCAGACGCGTAATATTAGAAATTTACCTGTCGGTGGTGACTTAAAACACCGACAAGGTGCGCCTACTTCCTTTTCCGGTGTCAAAAGTTTGACCCCCATCAGGCGAGGCAGAATCCCCCCTCAAGGGGTCTGGCAAACCGAAGCCCCCGCGCCCGAGGGGTCGGGCGAGACGGGGCCCGCGCCCGAGGGGTCTGGCGAGACGGAGCCCGCACCCTCGGGGTCGGACGAGAAAGGGCCCGCGCCTGAGGGGTCTGACGAGGCGGAGCCCGCGCCCTCGAGGTCGGGCGAGACTTTAAATACGCCTCGGACCATCCGGGTGAATTATCGTTCGTGGCTATTAATTTCCTTCTTCCGGGTATCCCTAATATCGATACCCGACAAATATGCTTCAAGAAATAGCCTCCAATAGGTTGTAAGATGATAATGAATTGAATTGTTGTCTATATCATGTAGTGGCAGTTACCGCCAGCAAAATTATGGCCCCGTTCGCTTGTCTTAAATTTGGCTTGTTCGGCTTATTTTTTCAGCCGGAACAGTGTTTTTCTCTCACAACAATTCAGCCGGAACAGTGTTTTTCAGTCAGCTTCAGCCAAAGTTCAGACCAACGAACAGGGCCTATATACCAAACACTACATCTAATTGTTTAGACATTCCTACCTAGTTTTTCAGCAAAACTTAGCAAATTTTACAGATAACAGATTATCATTATCTTGCAAAAGAAACAGTTACATAAAATGTGTAGCATGACAGTGAAAATTCGAGAACAAGTATTTTCAACGTAGCGTTGGGCACATCAGCTTTGTATATTTCATATGTATATGCATAATTTTCTAGAAGATAGTTTGCCTATTGCATTCATTAATTTTGTACCCATTTATAACCAAACAGACAACGGATCAGCATCTCCTATAAAGCATGGTATAACCAAACCACAAAACGAACTTTCATTCTAATTGAGCATGATACGAAGCTCAGATATTGTATTATCATATCTATGAACAAAGGGAGCACTGTTTCTTCGTCAGGTAATCTGAAGGACTTGACAAATTAGTGAATATACGAAGTCTGATCAATGGAACAAACCTAGTCAGCCACTAATAAGTACTAAACATATCGGCCCTGTTCGGCTAGAGGAATTCTGGATGAATCTGGATGAAAAACACTGTTCCGAATGAAATGTTGTGAGAGAAAAACATTGTTTCGGATAAAAAAAAAAGTGGATCAAGCCGGGTTTAAGGGTAGGCGAACGGGGCCATCACCATCTTACAGCTGTTCATAACAAACAGAGACGGTTCTGGGGGGTCCATCGCTACCCATAATCAAATCTAGCGACAAAACTACTAGTGGAATACTCCGCTACTCCAACTCTAAGCATGAATATCAAGCAATCAATCCAACCTAGTTCAAGCACCAAGCAATTGAACCCCAGATTCGAGCATCGCAGTCGACAATCGTGAGAGGGAAACACAATAAGGATGCGGGGTGGTCATGGCACAACCTCTCGTAGTTGCTCGTCGGTGAGCGCGTCCTTGAAGGCCTCCTCCTCCTCTTCTTCCGCCGCCGTCGCCGCCAGCGGTGGCGGCCGCCTCCTCGGGCGCCGCTGAAGACGAGGGGCACGCCGCCTTCCCGCCGGCTTCGGTGGCCGCCTGCTCCTCCGCCGCCGGCAACAAGGGGCGCGTCGCCTCCTTGGGCTCCAGCTCGATCACTACCATGTCTTGCCCCTCATCCCCATGGGAGGGTTCATGACTTCAGGGCTGTTTGCTTCGGTCCAGGAACGCCGCCACATTTTTACGTGGAAAAAGTCCGCATTACCTCCTTCAATTTTCGTAAAAGTCCACTTTTTCTCGTTGAACTCTAAAACCGGGCAAAACACCTTCCTCAACTTTTAAAACCGTTCATCTTACCTCCCTAGCCCAGTTATAAGCGGTTTTAAAGGTGGTTTTGTCATTTTCTTTTTTATTTATTTCGGCTAAATATTTGAAAAATCATAGTAAATCACAGAAAAATCATAAAATAGAAAATCTAATTTTGTTGGACTCCACATGAGTAGATTTATACAGTGAACACATAATATAGTATGCTTCAGTATAAAGTTTTTGCTATAGCTTTATATCTATATTTTTTTAATTAAATGGAATAATTCATAGTTACAGTTTCTATGGTCCAATTATGGTGAAATTTTTATGGTAGACTAGTTATTGTATACTTAAATTGTAGTAAAAATTTCATACTTATTGAATTATGTATAACTTAGTTATAGATTTTATTTAGGTTTACGTTTGTTAAATATAAATAAATCTATAACTAAGCTATACATGATTCAACGAGTATGAAATTTTTATTACAGTTCAACTATACAATAATTAAACATTTCCTCTTATACTCCCGATTCAATTGGCTGAATTGAAAGGAGATCCTCTGCGAAAGCCACAAGCTCACACGCTACCGATGGCAGAGGAACACATGCAAATGCAAATACAATGCAACAACCGCTAGCTTACGCATAGCTTAGCTCCTTTCAATATACCATATCCCGGTGCATATGCCACACCGTATTACATTACATTAGTACATTACTACAAGCACAACTTTGATATTACACGCCTAATCTTACTTAATTCTCTCTCTCTCTCTCTCTCTCTCTATATATATATATATATATATATATATATATATATATATATATATATATATATATATATATATATATATATATATATATATATATATAAACTACGGTTCTGCAGCTGTCACAGAATGACTTATTTTATGGCCACTTTGATATACAATAATTTATGAGATTACAGTAAACAGTAGCCGTATGTCATCCTGGCAACGTATATGCCAGCCAGTTGCTGTGTGTGGTACGACGCCGAGATGGATCAGCCTGTGTCTGTCACTGGGAGGATCGGAGGTGTCCCTGGAGATCGATGAGCGCGCGGCGGGGCTTGCGCGCCGGGTTGGGATTGGGCGAGGTCTTGAAGGGGAAGGACGCCTCCATGGCGATGCCGCAGAGGCCGCCGTTGCCGGCGCCGCGCTGCATCCGGATGTAGCCGCCCTCGCCCCATGAGGGGCCCCACGAGTTCTTGACGATCCAGTAGGGCGTGCCGTGGTCGCTGACGCCGTAGCCGACCGCCGCGACGCCGTGGTCCAGGTCCGTGCCGCAGTCGCCCGTGAACACGCCCTCAGAGTAGAACTGGAACGCCTGGCCCCCCGCGTCGATGGCCACGGACACCGGCTGGTGCGCCACCGCCTTGGCCAGCGCGTCCTCGCTGCCGGCCGGCACCATCTGGTGGCCGTCGATCGACACCTGCACCCGCCCGCGCCCCCGGGCCCGCACGCCGTCGCAGGTGCCGTTGGAGGCGTGGTACGGGTACGCGGACTCGGTGGTGATGCCGCCGTAGGACTTGATGAACTCGAAGGCGTTCTCCATGAGCCCGCCCTGGCACCCGTTCTCGGCCGTGTCGCAGTCGACCAGCTCCTGCTCCGACACCGACACCAGGCTCCCCGTCCGGATCGCGTTGATGCCCTCCACGGCCACCACCGTGGAGAAGGCCCAGCAGCTGCCGCAGCGGCCCTGGTCCTTGACGGCGGTCACCGCGCCATGCTGGCGCCAGTCCACGGACCGCGGCAGGTCGGTGGCGTCGTCGTACATGAACCCCGGCACGGCGGGGGACTCCCGGTCCCGGCGGAGGTCGTTGATGCGGGAGTCGGCGAACGTGGACCGGAACTCCTCCGGGCCCATGTCGCCGAAGCGGTTCAGGCGGAGGCGGTAGGGTCGGTCGCCGCGCTTGTTGTGCGCGTGGATGAAGCGCACGTTCTCCTTGAAGGTCCCGAACCGGCGGCCCTTCTCGCCGTGGTGCCGGTGCACCCGGTGGTGCGTCTGCCACCGCTCGTACAGGTCCCACAGCGCCTCGTCCGACGCCAGGTCCCGCTCGTCGAACTCGATGGCGCGGCACAGCTCCACCGCGGACACGACCACCAGGGCCACAAGGAGAAGCGTCGTCTTAGCGAGCTGCTGCGCCATCCGGCAAGTGCTTGCAACCTCCTACTAGCACCCTTGTGTGTAGTTATTAGTGGCTGGCTGTGCTAGCGACTGGGGAGCTCGATCACTCGGCTGCTGGAGTGTGAGCTGATGGGTTGGGACGACAAGGGAGGGCTGTATTTATAGCGCGGGGCGGGCGAGAGGCGCCTTGCCGCCTTTGCCTTTGCGGCAGGAACGATTTGATTTGAATTGATGGCGGTAACAGAAAGCGTGGGGAGATGGTGTCAGATTCAGCTCGAGGCTGAGGCCGGCCGGCCGATGGCTGCGGCCTGCGGCTGGGCGGCAGCCTCAACAAGTTGGCTGCCTCGGCTGGGCTCTTGGGCTGGCTGCCCACTGGGGCGTCGATGATTCAGGCTAGATTCATCCGCGTCTCCTTCCATGGATCGTTCGCGTCCGGTGCCTTCGTGGTGGCATGGTGGGGGTGTCCGGGCCGGCCGTATTGATATGTGTGCAACAGTTTTATGGATGCTACTCGGTAGCCATGGACCCATGGTGTGATGGCCGTCGAGGAGATCACAGCTGATCACAGGCGGCGTTAATGGCGGTGGTCGCTGAGGCCGAGGAGCTACGAGTACTATGAATCTATGGTTGCGATAAGGATTCTGGGCGTTGTGACTGCGGTACAGGAACAAGATTGCGTTCCCATGCTCCACAGATTCTTGGACATTTTCACGTCTTCTTAGAACTGAATACTAGACTACTAGTAGCTAGTTACGGTAGAATGTAGTTTAGCCAGGCCCACAGCAGTACACAGGACCCAACTCTCAGTAACCGGGAAAAAAAGAAATCTGAACTGCTGATTGATGCATAGCCCCAGCGCAGTGCTACCACTACCATGGACAAACGATTGGGAAGAAACCTTCGAGGCTAAGCTTGAACAGAAAAAAAACGAACTCGTCAGAAGTGCGTGTGCTGCACTTCACCGGCCTCCGTACCAGCTTTCAGGGTTGCTCGGCAGGCAGATGCTCTCCTGTGGGATCTCCAGCATGACGCTGACGCACCAGGCGGGCAATTTTAAAGTTGCAACCTCATCAAGCCTTGTTGATAGCAACACAGCGACGCAACATGCCCAAGCTGGCAGGCGGCAGCTAACAGCAGAAAACAGATCTACGACAGCAAACGAACCCTTGCTATGTTCACGTGGCATTGGCAACAGACAATCTTAGAATTATTAGCATAGAAAAACTATGGGATCAAACAGAGGAAACAGAAGCACCAAAGGCAAACATCTGGGAATTAGTTAATGTGGCATTGTTTGGATGTAGTCGGATTGGCATCAATCCACATGTGTTAGGGTAGATTAGAATGGAAGTTAAACTAAACTATACTCCAACATACGTGGATTGAGATGAATCCAACAATATCAAAACAAGACCTTAATGATAACCAAATTACTCACAGGGAACCAACCTAATTGTGGGCTCCATAGAACCCGTTTAACTAGCAATATGGGAATTGTGAGAAGAGACCACCATGGGTTTTGGGTGCTAAACTGCAATAGAATCTACGCACAAACTTTCTCCTATTCCTTTCTAAGACTACTAAGTTACTGTTGCCTTGCCTTACTTCTTTGCTTTCGCCTTCTTGGATACATCATGATGGTCTGTCCGCACTAAGGTTCAAGGCAAACACAGGGCTGTCGCCCGTGTGAACCTTCATGTGCTCTGTCCTCGCCCATGGGGCATGGCCACTCTGCAGCTCTCCCACGGGCCAGATGAAACCATGTTTATAGAAAAACCATAACGACTTATATATAATTTCAAAACAAAGAAGAGACATGTTTCTTTATTGACCAACAGTAAGATACATTATGTAGTTGTTTCAAAAAAATAAAATGTCGTTGGAGCGATCATTTCATTCAACTAGTGACACAAAAAGTCAATGAATCAGCTTCCAAATTATGGATCAAATGACATGAAATCTGGAGAACATTTAGAGCGCTGGGCTCTAAATAATACTCCCTCCGTTCCAAACTATAAGTCATTTGACTTTTTTTGTTCATCCATTTTGATATGTACCTAGACATATTATTTAGGCAAATTTTGCTATTGGACATGCTAAATGACGCGTCTTTGCTGGCGGACACTGCGTTTTCTATCTTTTACCGTGAGACACTCTGGTTTTTGGAAATACTGCCAGTGGGCACCGCAACCCAGTTGCACCCGGTTTTGGAGAGAGAAAACTTCGTTTTGGACATCGGGTGCCCCTGAACCAGACTTGGCGCCGTCCCAACCTAGTCTGGTTCGACCCAGTTGAACGACCGGCCCGCACCCGACTCCGTCGTTAGGGTTCCAGGCGCGCCATTTCCCCAATCCCGCTGCCGCCGCTCACTCCCAATCGCGCCGCCACCCACTCGTCTCCACTGTTCGTCGCGCCGCCGTCCACCCAGTGCCCGTCGCCGCTGACAGATCGAGCGTCGGCCGTCATCCGCCATGGGGGGCTGAGGATCTAGAGTTCCCTCGCACCCCGAAGATGAAGTCCCCCAGCTCGAAGAACGGGCAGTGCCCTAGGTCTCTGCCTAGGGTTCCGCAATTCAAATGGCTAGTGAAAGGGTGAGTCTTTTGAATCCCTACTATTTGCAGATGAATGCCTGCGGATGTGGTAGAATGCTTGCGGTTTTGAAATCGTTTAGTTTGGTTGTTATCCTTTGTGTTGATTTAGGATGGATCCGACTTCCGCGTGTAGACTGGCGATTAGCGTACCTGCATATGTAGAGCAAAGACCAGATGGGCTCGATGATTATCATGTAACTGCTAATTACATGCGTGTGGTAGACAAGGATAAATTCTCTTGGATGAGGTTTCTTGGGTGCCTTGGTGAGGAGATAGTCCATGGGGTCAACCAAGAACTGCAGGTCACCTTCTTTGACAAAACCAAGGATGAGACAGTGCGCATAGATTCTGATTCTGCTCTGTTACATGCATTTGATGTGTATTGGGACAGTAGGAAGGTGCCACTGACGGTACATGTTGTTGACACTGGTCCTCATTTGCTAAAGTCTAAGTGTTGTAATGCCAATGCCTCAGTCTTCTCAGTCTGTTATTATCACTCAGGAGAGTCAGGTTAATTGTCAGCCAATAGCTATGATACTGCCTAATCTAGTAGCTGATGATAATGGTGAAGCTGTTGATCTTAATGATGATGGTAATTGTGAGGCTGATGCTAATGGTGATGAGGGTCTTAATCTTGATAATGATGGTGAAGATGATGATGCTATTGCTGAAGAAGAAGAAGATATTGCTGAAGATGACTGGGGAGAGGCTGATGAAGTGGAGTATGTAGGAGCAGATGATGAAAATGAGAAGTACAAGGATGGGGTCAATGATGATGGTGATGCTGACCCTGCTTACTATCCTGACAGTGACCTAGAAGATGATGATCCATTAGTTGTGGACGATGGGAGGGACTGTGACGGTGTTGTTCATGTCACTAACATAGATAACCTTAAGATAGGTCTTGGTGTTACTTTTGAAGATGGTTTCTGCTTTAAGAGATGTATTAGACAATATGCTGTGCTTAATGAAGTTGAACTTGTAGTTCCATATAGTGCGTCACGGCGCGGTACCGAGCATATTGTAAGGCCAAGAGATGTCGTTGGAGGATTCATGCATCTCGATTACACGATGGCAAGACATGGCGTGTATGTGAGCTTTGTAATGCTTCATTTAGTTTAATTTAGTTATCAATTATTGTGTGCTAACCGTTGATTGATGGTCTGCAGATTAAGCTACCACACAAGCATAATTGTGCCAAAGACAAGCAAATTCGAACAACAAGTATGGCTAACAATCACTGGGTGAAGGATAAAGTTATAAACCGGCTTAGGGAAGATCCAACTATTGGAGCTAAAGATTTGAAGCGAAGTTGGAGGAGAATTTTTGTGTGTCAAATTGAGCTACTACGTGGTTTGGGACGGCAAGCAAATGGCCTTAGATGAGATCATGGGTGGTGGGAAGATAGCTTTGTACATGTGTTTTCTTAGAAAAGGAGATTGAGAAGAGGAGTCCCGGCGCAAATGTAGAGATTGAGTGGGAGATTGTAGATGAGAAGAGAAGATTCAGAGGGATGTTTGTAGCAATGAAGCCATGCATAGATGGCTTCTGCAAAGGTTGCGAGACCTTATTTAGGAATTGATTCCACAATTTTGACAACAAAGTGGAAGGATTAGCAGCATCATCACCGTGGGGATAGATGGCCACAACTGGATGTGATCCATTTCTTGCCAACACTGTTCTTAATCTAAAGCCAAGTGTAGTTGATAACATGGTCACATCTGCCATCTTACAGGGTTCCAAGATCCCCAGCCACTAGGAGGCAGGCCAAACAACAAGCTGGAGGTAGCCTAGGGGCACAGACTAGGAGTCGAGCCCAAGCGCTGTACTAGGAGCAAGAGGGAGGGCCTGATGCTCAGACTGGGAACATCAAGATGTAAGCAACCTTTTGAGCCACCTGTGTTTTGGTGTGCTTTTGTGTGGTTCTATGAACTTGCTATTGTAATCTGTGTGCTTTTGAGCCCGGATATTGTTGGTGTGAACTCGTATTGTAACTGCAATGTAGTGAACACAGCTATTGTTGGTGTGAACTTGATATTGCCATCTGGTATGATGTTCCATAATTAATGATCTGGTATGCCTGTGTTTGTCATGCTAAAATTAAATCAGTTGTTAAGTTGAAGGTAGTGATGCTGCAATTTTAACTTTACAACTAAAAAAGGGAACAAATCAAGTTGAAGTTACTCCATTCAAACTGCATTTCATTCATATTTCACAAACATTACAAAGCATACTTCATGCTTGCTTGTACAATACCATGCACAAATCAAGAAAGCAAACAACACCTACAAACACACTGGCCCCAACCATCATCCTAACAACTATTTGCTCTCCAGCTATTCTAGCCACAACAGTGCTCTGACCAACTACAACATTGTTCAAGTTCAATAGAGAATTCTCCAGAGCCTTCAACGCAGCCATCGCTGCTGC